TAAAGAGAAAAGTTAACGAAATGGAGAGGGAGTAAGAGATATTGCAAGATTATACCGGGAATTTCATATAACTCGCAATATATGAATGCAACCATAGTTAAGAAACTACTATGCACCTGCACTGTCCCACATAAAATGCAACATAGCTTAATAGTATAGGAATTGGGTAGTTTTGCAAATGAAAAGTTTTGCTTGGAAAAGGTGATGTCCTTATGATAACTCTGAGTTTCCATCTTAAGAGACGCACCCAAAAATAAATATTATAAATGATCAGATTGAACTCCAGAGCAAACCACTGCTCACCTTTCTTCGATGATCTCGCTCCATCTCTTTTATTCCCGTTTTGTTACATAATTCGTCTTTGTAGTGTGTTTTCTTGTTATTTTATCAAGTAAGTTAGTGATTTTGCGATAAGTCAGATTCGGTATCCCCTCGACCGGCTATCCGGTTATCCAGCATATCTATCCGGCCATTATGGTTATAACTTCTGGTGCATTTCTGAAGTGATACCTTACATTGCCACATTATTGCGATATTTGAATAAAAATGAAATTAATAAGAAAGCAAATAAGATATGTCAACTTATTTGGATCCAAGATATAAAATGAACTTTTTTGATGCTGATTTAACTCACGAAGCAACTCTTAAAGGAGGACACTTTAATTAATAATTGGTGATATTTCCACAAGGATCCTTTAAGAAATGAATTTTATAGCGAATTTTGAAAGTTATCGATGAAAATTGCAACATCGAAAATTTTATCAAAACTTCAAATATTGTTTTCTCAAAAACTAAAAGTTATTTTTCAAAACGGGTTGGTTCATTGGAAAGAGGACACTTTTATTAACACTTTGGGAAATTTTCATACTCATATTCCAAGAAATGGATTTTATACGAATTTTTAAAACTTAATCGGCGAAAATTGCAAAATTCGAAAAAATTGTCGATTATTTCAAAAATTTATTTCTCAAGAACTAAAAGTGATTTTTCAAAACGGCTTTTTGCATTAAAAAGAGGATACTTTAATTAATAATTGGTGATATTTCCACAAGGATCCTTCAAGAAATTAATTTTATAGCGAATTTTGAAAATTATCGATGAAAATTGCAACATCGAAAATTTTATCAAAACTTCAAATATTGTTTTCTCAAAAACTAAAAGTTATTTTTCAAAACGGGTTGGTTCATTGGAAAGAGGACACTTTTATTAACACTTTGGGAAATTTTCATACTCATATTCCAAGAAATGGATTTTATACGAATTTTTAAAACTTAATCGGCGAAAATTGCAAAATTCGAAAAAATTGTCGATTATTTCAAAAATTTATTTCTCAAGAACTAAAAGTGATTTTTCAAAACGGCTTTTTGCATTAAAAAGAGGATACTTTAATTAATAATTGGTGATATTTCCACAAGGATCCTTCAAGAAATTAATTTTATAGCGAATTTTGAAAATTATCGATGAAAATTGCAACATCGAAAATTTTATCAAAACTTCAAATATTGTTTTCTCAAAAACTAAAAGTTATTTTTCAAAACGGGTTGGTTCATTGGAAAGAGGACACTCTTATTAACACTTTGGGAGATTTTCATACTCATATTCCAAGAAATGGATTTTATACGAATTTTTAAAACTTAATCGGCGAAAATTGCAAAATTCGAAAAAATTGTCGATTATTTCAAAAATTTATTTCTCAAGAACTAAAAGTGATTTTTCAAAACGGCTTTTTGCATTAAAAAGAGGATACTTCAATTAATAATTGGTGATATTTCCACATGAAACGGGTTGGTTCATTGGAAAGAGGACACTCTTATTAACACTTTGGAATATTTTCATACTCATATTCTAAGAACTGGATTTTATACGAATTATTAATACTTAATCCGCGAAAATTGCAAAATTCGAAAAAATTGTCGATTATTTCAAAAATTTATTTCTCAAGAACTAAAAGTGATTTTTCAAAACGGCTTGTTGCATTAAAAAGAGGATACTTTAATTAATAATCGAAAGTGATAACAGCGACAGTTCTGTTAGTAATGAATGTGATGATGAATTATAAGCGAAGAGAAGAAAACTAGACGAAACTGCAGCAAGAGATAAATATAAGATATAAATAAAGTTGTATTCAATGAAAAAATTCCTATTGGGGTTGAACTCGATTATTATCTGCAGTGTGCAACACCTAAAAGAAATACAACTTCCTGTGAATGGTGGAGTACTAAGTAATAGGTTTTTCAAACTGGATAAGTCAGATACCGGATAGTTGCCGGATATCCGTTCCACTACTAATGTAAATCCATAATTTTGTATATTTTAATTTTATATTTAAAGATTTTCATTTTAGTTTTGCTTTAAAAGTTTTTTAACTTATGTCTAAGTTCCTCGTTCATTTTTGACAGTAAGTTTTAAGATATTTTCTTGTTATTCAATTTAATATCATTGTAGATTCAGCTGATGATGGCCTATTAGCCGAAACCGGTTCTGAATACATTAATTTTTATAGCGAGAAAGAAGTTATTTTATTTAAATACCTAAATTTCATTTATTTTCCTTTATAAGTCGCAATATGGATTACCAAAGATACATAAAAAAATTTCTTTTATCTGCTTTACGTAGCTATTTATAATGCTTATGTTCTGTATTCTTAGTTGCGTAATTCAGCAATCGATTGTAAATTTTCGATATATCACAGAAGATATTCTACATAGTTTGTCTCTTCCTAAGTACTCGACACGTGGCAGATCGTAGCAAAGTGAGTACCCAAATCGATTATAGGCAAATCATTGGCCACATTTTCCTAAATGTATTTTCCGTTAACAAAAAGTAATATCCTGCAAGGAGATGCCATGTGCGTATAAAAAATAGTAAGAATCGAAACAAATTGGCAGTGTAAAATACATCTAGTTCTTCTACATATTCTAAAATGATTTGTACTTTACACAATTATTAATTTATTTTACAATGTTACTTAATTATTAAATATTACCACTGATTAAATATTATATAGCAATCCTGTTGAGTAATATCTGTTCTCAACATCAAATAAACGCTATAAGACCAAAAATCTCGATTATTCTCGCTATTAAGCGATGAAATGATGCTACTTTGCTCTGGCTCTCCTGGACATCAGACACCCGGTTACAAACATAGTCGTTCTATGACAAGGATGGCTCGACATCTAACATAGAGCAACAATCAAATCGTTCCACAAGTTTATGATCAGCCAAATGAAGTAACTCCAATTTGTTCAACCAAATGTGTAGTTAAACGAATATAGTGCGTCGACAACTGTATCTTATGCTCATTTCATTGTATCGATCAAATACTTGAGCAAAAACTAGATGTTTTGTAAAAAGTAGGCGAAGTTTTATACCATTCTTTCAGCAAGGTATTTTTCAGCACAGTTTCCTGGTAACGATATATTCCCAAATTTTGCTATCCATATGGTTCCATATGTTGATTCCAGTAATCTTTATTCTCGCAATCTTTCGCAAATTTTAATCCGACGTTCTGGTTCCTTTTGCTAATTAGTGGTTTACGTCACACCATCCTATCCTTTTAAATCTGCATCATAAAGCATATTTCTCATAATTGACGCAACTCATTTTTAGCAACATCAGTCAGCAAAGACATTTAGGGAATTCCCCTTATCGATTATATCAAACTGCAAATGACTGTTATTCTTACTCACCGCTGTATTAAATTAACGCATAATTAGTTTGGAATTAAATTGTTTTTTTATTAAAATGAATTAATTTAAATGATTTGTGTTTGGTTTTGAAAGTGTTATAAATATAGTATTGAAAATCAATTTATTCTTTTTTCCTACTTGCTTTAGTTTGAATCTTTTTGGTAGAATAACATCACAGCAAAACCTCGATATAAAGGATTAATAGGGGAAAGGAGTGTCCATTAGAGCCAAAAGTCCGCTATATGAATAATTTTAATGCACGCAAATTTGGATAGCTATCCATAATATTGCGTTCAGTCTACGTGGCTTTATATTTATACCAAGGACGGTAGAATCTAAGAGGACTGCTACATCCGGGGAACAGATGCATAGCTCGAAGACCCGTTCGTGACGTCAGCGCTGAATAACAATTAAAGCCGTCTTAAGAGACGTTCGGCTAAACCCGAATGTTTGTAGTTCTAGGCCTAGTGTTAGTTCCACTTTTAGTTCAATAAAAATATACAACAATCTAGCACTGAATAACAACTAAAACTATAACTACCGTCTTTGATTTATATATCGTATAAACAACTATTTAGGGAAATACCCCGAGTTGTATTCTATGTATGTCTGCTAACATGTCGAATTAGGCAACACATTATGCAAAAGTATATATTTGGTTGCCTATATGTAATGTAAATTATTAATATCTTTCAGCAAATATTTAGTAATTTTGTTTATTGTTATATTTAATAAGAAAACCAACACAATTTTTATGTATATAATAAATTATTAGCGATGTTAATAAACAAAGTGTATCATAAGCTGCCTATATAAAGTAAATAAACATTATTTTTAATTGATTATAATCTTATCATAAAATTTAGTTTGTAAAGAAACATTTATTAAATATTGTTGAGTGTAATGAACGTTTTTGTATTAATATATATAATAAAAATGATCACTTTATCATTACAAAAAATAATGATTGAATAGTAACAAAATTACAAAGTTGTTCAATTAAAAATATTATTAACTAAACACGTGTAAAACAACGATAAGAATGGTAAATTAAAATAAAAATGTTTCAGCCTTGAACACAAAAAAATATGTGATAAAGAACAAGGAAAATAACACAACCTAGATTTCTCTAAATACTCTAATTAAACTAAGTTATTTGATGAAATTTATGAATTCAATTTTTAAACTGTTTAAAATTAAAATTAATCAAAATTTTGAACAAAAATCGACACACCAGAAATGAGCAAAACAAAAACAAAACAACATAACCCCAAAAACATTTGTTTTTAAAAAAAGATTTCGATTTTACCTTGATGTCCTAAAACGACCAATTTCCCATTGATTACTTGCATTTTTTGAATCATGTAGCACCTGTTCAACTGCACTCTTTATTATTAATAATAAAATATTTAATTGACAGATAGGAATTAGATTTGATGCAATATTTGCATCGTTATTGCTTGTTGACTTAATAATTGATGTTTAAGTCAATAGATGGCGGGATTCGAACTATAAAGAATTCTGTAATGTTAAATAGGTTGCCTAAATTAATGTAAAGTAAAACATTCTAAAAAATTGCTTATGATTCATAACGATTGGAATATTTATAAAGAATGCTGTAAAGATTACTATGTAATTGATGATTCTTACTGCTAGGAATGAAATTTAGGTGTAATCATTTTGTGAATCATTAGTGTAATTAAATATTCATGTTAAATAAATTAATTTGAAACGTAATAATTTTTTAACAGTTAAAATAAAATATCGAAATAACATCTATAACAAATAACAAAAATATCGATAACAAAAATAAATTTCTCTAAGAATTTAAGATAATGATTTTATTACTTAAAAACAATTATCGCGAATTAAGTTTATAAAAAAAATGATACTAACACAACAAGGACTTTTGTAATATAATCTCTTTTAAGTAAAGGTAATTTATCGTTATCAACGTATAAATAAATTGTTATCTTTGCCGAAACGACTTCACGACATTTAATGCTTTCTTCGAATTCTATTCCACTTTTAGTATTAATTTTCTCTCTTTATCGTCACAATCGAGTGGGATCTGCTATATAAATTTTTACAACGGAGTCATTAAAGTGTACTTTCGTAAGTTTCGTTGAGGTGAAAGCAACTCTCTAAAGTCGAGGAGAAATTTGTTATAAAAAATGAGTCCGAAACGTAAGTATTCAATATATTATTATAGTCTTGTTGTTTAATATATTTTATTTTCTTTATAGGGCCTAAAACACGAACGGTGTTTTTGTACTGTGATGTACCATCAATGCCCGATTTTAGACCTCCTGTTGGAATGCCACATTGTCCACCGATTCATCCAAGTCCACCTCCAGTTCATCCTCATCCTTGTCCACCACCGATTCATCCTCATCCTTGTCCACCACCGATTCATCCTCATCCGTGTCCACCACCAACTTATCCAGGACCTCCAATTCATCCATGTCCACCAATTCATCCTGGACCTCCAATTCACCCAGGACCCCCAATTCATCCAGGTCCACCAACTCAACCTTGCCCATGCCCACCTACAAAACCATGTCGTCCACATTCTGGAAAAGATTCATCTTCGAGTTCATCTTCAAGTAGCTCATCGTCCTCTTCATCATGTTCTTCGTCTTCTGATGATAAGAAAGGAAACAAAGAAGGACAATGGCCTTGCCATAACCATCATTGCCGCGATGTTTGGGCTTTGGTTCTTTTGGCGAAACGATCGAAAGGTGACAAGAAACTTTGCCATAGGGGACATAAAAAATTGAACAAGAAAGAAGAGTGTAGGAGAAAAGTTGAGATACACCATTTAAATCAGTTTTGTCAACAGTGTAGAAATGCATGTATGACAGGTCAAGTTTCTGTTAGTAGGAAGCTGGTTAAAAGATATAGGAAGGAACGTAAAGGAAAATCACGTAAACATAAGAAATAAAATGTGTTGTTGATGTAATTTTTAAAATTTCTTGTAGTGTGTTAAAATAAAGCTTCAGTATTTTTGACATTTCACAAACATCAGAGTTTTCTATTTTAGATCATTCCTTCTAAATTGTTTAATGTTGTTAATGAATTTTATAACGAATTTTGAAAGTTATCGATAAAAATTGCAACATCGAAAATTATATCAAAACTTAAAATGTTGTTTTCTCATAAACTAAAAGATATTTTTCAAAACGTGTTGGTTCATTGGAAAGANTCATTCCTTCTAAATTGTTTAATGTTGTTAATGAATTTTATAACGAATTTTGAAAGTTATCGATAAAAATTGCAACATCGAAAATTATATCAAAACTTAAAATGTTGTTTTCTCATAAACTAAAAGATATTTTTCAAAACGTGTTGGTTCATTGGAAAGAGAACACTTTTATTAACACTTTGGGAAATTTTCAAACTCATATTTCAAGAATTGGATTTTATATGAATTTTTAAAACTTAATCGGCGAAAATTGTAAAATTCGGAAATTATTTCAAAAATTTATTTCTCAAGAACTAAAAGTTATTTTTCAAAACGGGTTGGTTCATTAGAAAAAGGACACTCTTATTAACACTTTGGGAAATTTTCATATTCATAGTCCAGGAAATGGATTTTATACGAATTTTTAAATTTTAATCGGCGAAATTGCAAAATTCTAAAAAATTGTCTATCATTTCAAAAATTTATTTCTCAAAAACTAAAAGTGATTTTTCAAAACGGCTTTTTGCATTAAAAAGAGGATACTTTAATTTATAATTGGTGATATTTCCTCAAGGATCCTTCAAGAAATTAATTTTATAGCGAATTTTGAAAATTATCGATGAAAATTGCAACATCGAAAATTTTATCGAAACTTCAAATATTGTTTTCTCAAAAACTAAAAGCTATTTTTCAAAACGGGTTGGTACATTGGAAAGAGGGGACTCTTATTAACACTTTGGGAAATTTTCATACTCATATTCCAAGAAATGGATTTTATACGAATTTTTACAAACTAAATCGGCGAAAATTGCAAAATACGAAAAAATTCTCGATTATTTTAAAAATTTATTTCTCATGAACTAAAAGTAATTTTTCAAAATGGTTAGTAGCATTAAAAAGAGGATACTTTAATTAATAACTGGTGATATTTCCACAAGGATCCTTAAAGAAATTGATTTTATAGCGAATTTTAAAACTTATCGATGAAAATTGCAACATCGAAAATTTGATCAAAACTTCAAATATTGTTTTCTCAAAAACTAAAAGTTATTTTTTAAAACTGGTTGGTTCATTGGAAAGATGACACTTTTATTAACACTTTGGAAAATTTTCATACTCATTTTTCAAGAACTGGATTTTATGCGAATTTTTAAAACATAATCGGTAAAAATTGTAAAATTTTAAAAAATTGTCAGTTATTTCAAACATTTATTTCTGAAGAACAAGGAGTGATTTTTCAAAACGGCTTTTTGCATTAAAAAGAGGATACTTTAATTAATAATTGGTGATATTTTCACAAGGATGCTTCAAGATATTAATTTTATAGCGAATTTTGAAAATTATCGATGAAAATTGCAATATCGAAAATTTTATCAAAACTTCAAATATTGTTTCTCAAAAACTAAAACTTATTTTTCAAAACGTGCTGGTTCATTGGAAAGAGGACATTTTATTATCACTTTGGGAAATTTTTATACTCATGTTAGGAGAAATAGATTTTATACGACTTTTTAAATCTTAATCGGCGAAAATTGCAAAAATTCGAAGAAATTGTCGATCATTTCAAAAATTGATTTCTCAAGAACTAAAAGTGATTTTTCAAAACGGTTTGTTGCATTAAAAAGAGAATACTTTAGTTAATAATTGGCGATATTTCCACAAGGATCCCTCAAGAAATGAATTTTATAGCGAATTTTGAAAGTTATCGATGAAAATTGCAACATCGAAAATTTTATCAAAACATCAAACAATGTTTTCTCAAAAATTAAAAGTTATTTTTCATAACGGGTTGGTTCATTGGAAAGAGGACACTTTTATTAACACATTGGGAAATTTTCTTACTCATATTCCAAGAAATGGATTTTATACGAATTTTTAAAGCTTAATCGGCGGAAATTGTAAAAAATGAAAAAATTGTCGAATATTTCAAAAATTTATTTCTCAAGAACTAAAAGTGATTTTGCAAAATGGCTTGTTTCATTAAAAAGACGATAAAATATTGTTTTCAAAAAACTTCAAATATTGTTTTCTCAAAAATTAAAAGCTATTTTTCAAAACGGGTTGGGTTACCAAATATCCGGGCCAAAGTCGGATGTTTGGCATCCGGCCGGATTTAAAAAATTGCCGGACAGGTCGGATACCGGATAATTGTCGGATATCCGTTCCACCACTACTATAAAGCAATCTTCGATATAAAGAAGAGATTTGAAGCTTTCATTTCATCGTATATGTCTCCGTTTTGATAATTAAAGCTTCAGCGATTTTTTAAATTTCCACAACTTTTTACCAACACTGAAATAGCAGGAACATCAGTGTATTCTATTTTGGGGTAGGTAGTTCATCTAACTTGCTCAAATAAGTGTCGGTTGGTACACATCGTTATAATAACATGCTCATCTTTTAGCTTTGATAATTAAAGCTTCGGTGATTCTTTGAATATCCACAATTTTTTACCAACAGCGAAATAGCACGAACATTTGTTGTTTCAATTTTGGTGCAGTGCATCTGAATTGTTCAAATACATAAGTTTAGGTTGATATAGATCGTTATAAAGAAAAGATTTCAAGCTTTCAATTAAGCAAATACTCATCTCTCAATTTTGGTAACTAAAGTTTCAACGATTTTTTAAATTTCAACCACTTTATTCTAACAGTCATATTAATCTAAATTTTCGAGTTTTACACCACGTTTCTTATGATCTAGTGTATTCTAATAAACTTACTACTAAGCTTTCATTTTAGCTCACACATACAGGTTTTGGTATTCATAAATACTATTTCTTCTGTCCGTTTATAAAACGATGATGAAAAAATCCAAATAACAAAAAATATTCCAATACCTCGTTTTGAAATTCACTCATCCATCTCATCCATTCTTTTATCCCTCGTATCGGAAAGATACGCGATCCGAAGACGGATCGAAATAAAATTTCCCTAATCGGATATCATCACGCGGGCTCGATTTCCGAGCTCTCTTCGACAACGATTTTCGTATATTTCCTTCATTCGTTGCGTTTTCGGGTCCCTTCTCGACAAGGGGGAAGAGCTCCCGTCGTCGTCTCCGGAGCGTTTCGAAACTCTTCGCTCGCCATTCGAGACGAGGACGTTGATTGGTAATTGTATCCCGGAGTCCTTCGCGTCCAATCAGCGAGCGTGAGTAGCCGCGCGGAAAACAGCACTCCGCGAACACCTCGACCTGAATAACAATGACAAAAGGAGAACAAACCCCTCTTTTCGTAACTCTACCCTAAGCTTCTTTAACAACTTTTATAGAATCGCAAACAGGAATACGAAAAAAAAAATGGAGTGGATAATGTAAAAGATCTTGTAGAGAAAGCTTTTAAAAGATCAAACTTTGTTTATGTACAAGAAAAATTCATATAAAAATTGATTTTAATAAATAGCCATGCCCTTACTTGTTCAGAAGGTGTTTGTGCAAGAAATTAGAGTAATGATGTTTAGGTGAATCACTGAAATAAAATTCAAAAAATCATGGTTATTGTATTTTGAAAATTATTACTTTTATCTCAAATTGAAGTTTAAAGCAATAAAACTTGCTTACTATCTTTTCAACTTGTTGCCAAGAATTCAATATTTTTCAACATATTCATGGTATCTTCCTTTGGGTAAGTTATACTTCAGCATTTCCTTTTTCTCTGGTCACTTGCAAGACTTTCCAAGGTTTTCTGTACAGTGCCAAAACAATAAATGCGTTCTTTGGTTAAATGAGGTAGCAAAGGAATATTGCCAAAAAAGATGTCAAAATAAATTACATGATTTAAATGTTTTAGGAGTAGTTGTAACAATCGAATAACTTTATTTGATACTGTTTCTAGGTCTGATTCGCCAAGTAAACGTTCAGTTTTCTCAGGTCCTGAGTAAACCTCAAAGCAAACAATTTGTGTACAACTTGTGAGGTAACTATTGCTTTAATAAATGCTTAACATTTTTGTGGCACAGATTTGCTCATCCAGTTCTGTTCTGATTCAGAGTTTGTGCTATTTGGTCAAATTCTACATTATTTGACCAGTATGACCTGATATTAGGATAATGGTNATTTTGATCTACAGATTGGAATGTATGGATTTTGTATTGTTAATTTGAAAAGCTCGTCAACTCACTTTTACATGTGGGTTGAATATCAATGCGGCAGAGGCTCGAATTCAATTGGTTCGGCAATTTTACATATTTTCAATAGTAGTTATTTGGCTGGTGTACGAAAAATAAGCTTCTTAGTTGATGGCTGTGGTGGCTAAAATAAAAAAAAACCACGTAACCTTAAAGAAATCGAAGTAGTTTCTAAAAAGAGGATACTTTAATTAATAATTGGTGATACTTCCACAAGGATCCTTCAAGAAATTAATTGTATAGCGAATTTTGAAAATTATCGATGAAAATTGCTACATCGAAAATTTTATCAAAATTTGAAATATTATTTTCTCAAAAACAAAACGTTATTTTTCAAAACGTATTGGTTTATTGGAAAGAGGACATTCTTATTAACAAGTTGGGAAATTTTCATACTCATATTCCAAGAAATGGATTTTATACGAATTTTGAAAACTTAATCGGCGGAAATTGCAACATTAGAAAAAATTGTCGATNTTTGGTATCCGGCCGGATTTAAAAAATTGCCGGACAGGTCGGATACCGGATAATTGTCCGATATCCGTTCCACCACTACTATAAAGCAATCTTCGATATAAAGAAGAGATTTGAAGCTTTCATTTCATCGTATATGTCTCCGTTTTGATAATTAAAGCTTCAGCGATTTTTTAAATTTCCACAACTTTTTACCAACACTG